CTGCGGAACTGTTAATGAGGAGAAAGCTAAGGACAGTCTTAGATAGACTCCATCCAGATCTGACGGCTGAGAGGAAGTTGAGACAGGAGCAAGATGCGTATAGAAAAAATGGTAGTTCTCTTCCAAGATCGTTCAGTGCCGACGATCCAGTCTTTGTGAGAAACTATGGACAGGGTCCAAAGTGGTTTTCAGCTACGGTCATTAAACCCACAGGTTCAGTTTCCTACCAAGCGATAACCACAGGAGGCAAGGTAGTTAAACGTCATGTGGATCAAGTGCGGAAGCGTATTCCTGATCCGTTGACTGTCCCGTCCGATCCTAGTGTAGCATCTCCACCAGCACCGAGTGTTGAGACTGAAGTGCCATCTCCCATTCCTTCCAGTACTGATTCTCAGAGTGCAGTAGTTGAACCTACAATACCAAATCAAGAGTCCTCTGTTCCAGTTCCAGAACCTTGAGGCCCAGACATACCATCGTCAGGCCAAGCAGGTTCAAAGACTTTGTTCTATTCTAGGGCAAAGGGGTGTTGTGATGTCAACCGACGTCACCTTCCGCCATCACTACGAGTCGACGACAGCCTGTAGTTCCTGAATAGCGGCGCTGCCTTTCCTTCCCAGAGAGTATATAAACACATTCCTAATAGATGTTCATCTCCAACCTTGTTACGTGCTGCAAGCATGTTATTGTTATGTTATGTTTTGTTGTTTTATTAAGCTTATACTTTAGTTATTATGTGTCTTACTTGGATACCACCAAGGATACTTCACAATACTATATACACTTTATGAGAAAAAAAATGACCTGGAAATTTCAAGATTTTTACCTGGAAAAATCAGGGAAATTTGAAACCTGATTTATGTGGCCACTCTGTTCCTTCTTTAGAAATAGAAGCTAAGGGAAAAATAATTTTACAATCCGCTTTTAAAGAACAAGTCGAGGCGAAATTAGTTATATTGCCAGTTTATTATATAAACCCTGATGATTGTCTATTTTATAGTTCAAATATTTTGTTTGCTTTAACAGATAAATTAAACATCCCTTGTTTAATTACACTGGACGCTTATAACTCTTTGATTTATCAAAATGATGATTCAGCTAAAATTGAAAATGCTTTAGCTTTAGAATGCGACCCTTAAATGCAATAATTGTATAGTTGTGACGGAATACTAAAGCTCACACTTGTAGCAAAATTACAATAATATCTTTCTCTCTTTTTAACACAAACTCATTTCAGGTAAGTATGTTATCTATTTATAAATATTTCTCCTATGTGGCACCATGAACTAGTGTATTTCTCTTTATATTAGCAACACCGTTTAATGTTTCAAAGTAAATTTTAAACAGCATAAGTGCTTCACAGTAGAATTCAAGAAAAGTGGCTTGACAACTATTTTCTTTCTAGTGCTAATACTATTAATGCTAAAATAGAATTTCAAATAACTGGTAAAATAAAATATTTTTTTGAAAAAAAGAATTCAACAAGTAGCTTAGCCAAGCTACCACAGCACCACCACATTCCAGGCAGTGGATGCTCAGACTTTGAACCGAATGGCCCTTTTTTTTCTCATTCTCGTAATTAATCAAATTTGTTTGTCCATGTGCTATTTGTAAATTAATAAAAATATTTGGCACTAAGCTTTACAGTTAGTTATGCATTAAGTATTTATTTAGAGTCATCTTGTAATTTTATAGACATAAACATCAGAAATAAAATATGGTTTTATAATATGTAATTAAGTTTGGTAAAGTTTAATAATTTTTTCATGATACCTTAGAGCATGTCCTAAAATTAATTTATTCACGTAAACTCGCTTTTCAATTAAGTATTTTTTATTAATTGTGTGTGGGTAATTTTGAAAACCAGAATTTTCAAAAAATCGTTATCTTGTGAATGGGATATATATTTTGGTTTTATTATCCAGTATTAGGAGGGATTTTTTTAACCATACAATAATCTAATTTTTCCAGAGTTTTTTCCTCTGTGTTAATTATTTTGTTAAAATTGTGATCAAAGTACTTTCAACTGGGGCAACAGCTAAAAGGTGAAAAAAAATTGATTAATATATTTTTTAAAACTAATTATGCTGTTAGGAATTGGAGGTGGGTTTGAAGTATTAAAATATGTAAATACTGTTGTGCTTTGCATTAGACTTGATTACCGTTAAAATTTATATATTGTACAAGATAATTTTGAAAGGTGACTTAGCTTCTCGCCAAAGGTGGCTAGTATAAAAATATCTTACAATATGTTCACTAATGAAAGTTACTTAACTTCTTTTTTTTATTTTTATAAATGCTTAAACTGCAGCTAAGAAAAAAAATCTCACAACTGGATTTTGATCTTTTTAGTCTTATCTAACACATGGTTATTTTCAATTTCTGTTAGGGGAACTGAGGAAGTTTCACTTTAAAATTTCTTCATGTAAACAAATTAGTTTCGTGAAAAATTTCACTATGAAAATATATTTATTACACAGTTGAAGTCAATTTGCTCATAAACATTGCTCCATATACCACCTCTATCAAAATAGAAGCTGTGTTAATTTTTCTAAATTCTAGCAATCAAATTTTAAACTTATTTTGACTGTTAGTTATTGACATTTAAGCTTACAATGAGAGACATTTCAAAGATGCCATCTCATGTATTTGAAATGCTATTAAATTTACATTTTAAAAGATCTTATTATATTAAGATAAAGTTGCTCTCTTGAGAAAATTCATTATAAAAGTAAGTTTATTATATATTTAAAGTCAATTAATTACGCTATTTACACGAAGCTTGAAGCAAGCTAAATATTTTTTTTTTTAAATTTAAAAAATCAAAACTCACTCTGGGCAAGGGGGAAAAGAATAGTGTATAATGATTAATTTTTCAAAAATATGATTTCCAAAATATTTCGAAGAAAAACAATAAAAATTGTACTAAGCAGATTTTTATTTTTCTCTTTAATTTTGTTAAATATTTAAATATAAAACTTACTGAGATGATGGATGCATTTTAAAATAAACATTTAAATAGGAAAAATATGCAATAAGAAACAAAAACTAATATATACGATAGAAGTTTTACTTTCTATCAACTAAATTTAAAAAGTAAATAAGATAAACTGAAACTAATCATGATATTTTGCTTTATTATATAAAACAGCTTTAAATGTCTAGAAATATATATTCCTTAACAAGTAATGAAAAAAAAAGAATGGTCAAGAAATAAATATAATAGAACAAAAAATGAATTTGTTATCACTAATATATTTTTCTCAAAGATTCCGAAGCTAATGGCAACCAGAACTGGACCTAACCGCACCGATCGTTCCTAAATTACGGTGCAAACTGAGGTTACGTGTCTAGTTAGCTTACGTGTAACATGTGTCACCAGTGCGAATATTGGAACGCGACCGTAGAGGAATTATCATTCTAAAAACTAAAGAAAAAGTTGAGTGAAGCTCCTTCCCTTTATACTCCAGATCCTAAAAAACTGTATGTTATACAGTGTGGTGCAAGTTCCTATGATGTTGGTGCTTGTTTATCCCAAAGAGATGATAACGGTCAACTTTGCCCCATCAGTTTTGCTAGCCAAAAACTGAACAAAGTGCAACAAAACTGGTCTATGATTTAACGTGAAGTGTGTGCTGTAGGATGGTCGAGTAAATTCGAAAATTACGTGTTTGGTGCGAATATTGACATTATAACTGATCATAATCCTTTAATATTTTTACAGAAGTCCGCACCCCAATCTGCTAAGTTGCAATGGTGGGCTTTAGCTCTCCCAAGGTACAATATTCATATCACACACTGCCCAGGTGCTCAATTAAAAAATGCTGATGGTCTATCAAGACTAGTAAGTGATTAAATGTAGTGGATCAGATTTCGCTGTACCAGATACCAGGTGTAGCGGAATCTTGTCGGGGGTGGGGGATGTCATGCATGTTTTTATTGAACGTTTCATGTTGCTATATGTTTGTATAATATTACATTGTTTTTCTATGTTAGTATAAAATGGCTTTTCATCATTTTTTTTTATTGAATGTCCCATATTATATTTTTTTTAATGTTTGTATTGAATATTTTGTATTATGTAGCTTAATGGTATATTTATTGAATGTTTTACAGTACAACATTTTATGATGTTTGTCATGCCTCAATGTTGTGATGGCACTGCCATCAAGGTAGATGTTGTAAAAAAAAAAGGCAGAGGAGAATGCTCTGATTGAGAGCGGAAGTGAAAAAAAGGATGTGTGCTTGTAGTTTTGTTTAGGTGGCTTGGTTATATTAATTTTCTTCAAACTTCATCTTTTACCATTGTTAATAAATGTTTTTTTGTGTTGTAAACTGGTTACCATTTTTTTGACCAATTGTGTTTATGGGAAGCATCTGAGTGAAGAAGGGAAAAGGAGGAAAAAATATGCGTAATATCACAGTAATAATATATATACCTAATATGTAACTGAGTACATTTAAAACTAATCAGTAGCAAACATATTACTAGGTAGAAATTATTGCCGCTAAAAGAAATTTGATTCTACATCAACATCTTTTCTTCATGTATTTTAGGTACTGCTCTCTTTCATTTGTATTTTGCTTTTCACATTGTATAATATTACCTATACTGAGGTTTGTGGATTGAATAATAAAACATTTATATGAATACATATTTACTTAATAAAAACAAAATGTATGATAGAACCAGGAGACAAAACAGGAAGGGTTATTTAGTCAACAGTTATAAAATATGCATTGTTATAAGCCAAGAAGCATATGATTACAGATGTTAACTGATGACATATTGTAAGGGAAACTTGCCCTTGCATTTTGTAATGATGATGACATAATTTATCAACAAACTGTAGTTGAAGTTTGAAAAAAAAATTTTTTTTAATCATCAAATAATTCATACAATTACTACCTAATTTTATAAAATTTCATTTCTTATTACTTTGTGATATTTAATATTAATTTTCTTATCTATTGTTTAAATTTAACAATTACTTTCTTTTTAGGACTATAAGCCTTATAAAATTTTCATCACAGAGAAGCCTTTATGTTGTTCTAATAAAGATAAGGTATTTGTGGAATAAGTTTGTGTGTTTTTATTAAGATTTTCAATTATTAGAAATAAGAATTTTACCTGTATTTTTAAGTTGATTGTGTTAGCATCATGACAATGTATTAATATCCAGAACAAAATGGGTTTCTCAAGATTGTGGATATTTAGTTCTCTACTGTATAAATAGGTGTCGATATGGTCTCAATGTTGGGGAGGGGGCAACATGGATTATATTTATGAAAATCAGATTGCATTATAACTCTAAGCAGTTAAAAAGAAAGATAACTATTATCGTTATACTGTTTTTTTTTTGTGGTAAATTATAAACATTTAAGAGTTATAATATTTTTTAAATATTTATGTTATCGTTATACTGTTTTTTTTTTTTGTGGTAAATCATAAACATTTAAGAGTTATAATATTTTTTAAATATTTATGTGTCTTATTTGATTTCCTGTACAAGATGTAATAAGATAATAATTTTTTAATTTCATAAATAAAAAATTTTTTGTAAAAATTTGTACAAGCTAAAATAGATAAAATAGAAAATAAGTATGTGGTGTAATCTATATACTAGGTTCAAGTACCAAAGTTAGTGACCTGGCGAACTTTGTAAACTTCTATATATCTTAATTATTTCCTTAAGGTTATTAATGAGACCTTTGATTTATTAAATTATTACTATTTCTATATATATTTTGATTTCTAATAATCTTTAACATATTCTTGTTTATTCTAGAATTGTGTAAAATCAAGCAAATTTCTTTTCTTATCTAGACTTTACTTTCCAAAAATATTTTTAAAAAGTTAATGTACGAAAAAAAAAATGTTTAAATTTTTGGGGAAATTTTGATTAAAAAAGGAAAAAAACTTTGTTTTGAGGAAGTATTAGGGACTGAGAATTTTCTGCTCTCCTGCTATATGTACATGAATATAATATATTTCTTGATCAGTAAACTAATTATAATTTACAAAAATATAAAAGTTTGTTTAAATGAGTTTATAATTTTTTAAATCAATCAATTCAAGGGTTTAGTTAAGTTACTATCAATATTTATTCAGTTATTTGATTGCTTGAAAAGTGCTTAAAAGGTGCTTATTTTTTGTTGAAAAATTTGGCTACACGCTCTGTTTATCTTAGCTAACTTTGAAAGCCTGCGAATTTTGCTCTTTCTATAAATTTTGCACCTGAAATCTTTTCTCAGAATGTTTGACATTGATCCTCTCAATATTTTGAGCTTTCTAGCAGATATTTGTCCTTTCCGTAATATCCTTCTCTGACCTTTTTCATTGTGTCTTTTCTCCAAACCGTATTGTCCTAAGTCTTCTTTTGGTTTCAACTGAGAGCATCTCATTATACCTTACAATAATTGTGTAAATGAAATTTCTCTTCAGCCTTTGAGCTTTCAAGTCTCTAAAAATTGACCTCTTATTTGGTGAGTTTATTTATCACGAATTCTCTAAATTCTTTCATTCTACTTTTGCAAAGAAAAATTATCAATAGTACACTATAAAAGTTTAGCAATAGCTTCTACATACTCTACACTAAATTGTCTGAAAGTGATTGGGCCAATTATATATTTTTCAACGTGCTTCAATACTTTTTGGTCACTGTAAGTATTTTAATGAAATAAGCGAAATTACATTTGTATTTGACTTGTAATAAATGAGTACTTTTGTTAAAATGATGTTTTGAATGATACTTTTTTTTATTTTTGGATTTTTCAAAATGCAAATTACGAACAAAGTGGAAATTCTGAGCAGTTTTCCTTTTCTTTTTATTTATGCATCCGTATTGAGTAGTTTTTTTTTCTTCAAAAAAAATGATGGTAATAAAAATCCTATCAATTTCTTAGTTTTCAAACATCATATTTAAAATCACATTACATTTCAATATTTCTAATTTATTTCTGAATCCTAGAGTACATATGCTATATCAAAATTCTTTAATAAATAGTTAGAGAAGTATATATAGAAATATTTGCCAGTAGTTAAAGTAAGTTATAAGGCAACATAAATCATTTTGTCGTTTCAGAGTATGTTTTTTAATTTAATATTTTTTTTAAGGAAATATGTGAAATTAATTTTGATTTGTAGAGTTTAGTCTTTTTTATTACATAATAATAAATTGTCTGTACCATTTCCAGTAAATTTTAATCTTGCTTTTCATGCATTATGTTTACAATATAAAAATTAATGCATTCATATTGTTGAAATGCATTACATTTGTTTTTTCATTTTATTTTCAATTAAGTTGTATTTATTAAATTTTATTACAGATAAGATAGAGATTGAGACACAAATTAAAAAGTATTACATCAGAAGTGTACTCGAATTTGTTGAAGCCTTTATTTACATCCTATGCCCCAAAGACTTTATTAACTGATAGAAAGCCAGCCTTTACTTCTAGTTGATTTAAGAAATTTGTGAGCCATCACCTCCCGACATAATTATATCACAAAAATATAAAGAATTTAGTTGTCATTGTTTATTAATACCATTTTCAACATTTTTGTTACAGTTTTTTTTTATCAAAGTCTAGTGCCATTGCAACAAACACAAGGCACAATGCATGATTTTTCTTGAATAATTCTTCGTATTAATATTATTTATAGCAGTTCAGGATCATTTTTAATAAATTACAAAATTCAAATTTTCCTTATTATAAAATTACAAAACTATCAGCAGAAATTGACTAAAATTTACATAAAATGTACTCTTAATTTTCACCTTCTGGTGTTAAATGAAATTCTTCAACTGGATAAAAATATCTTAATTTGGAAGAGTGAACGATTTCAGTTTGATTATTATATATTTAAACTAACTCTCCTCTTCATTTCTATAAATCTCAAATACACTACTTAGTCTCAGTAACCACTATTCTTTCTAGTACATACCTTACAACAACTTTTCTTATTTTCATGAATAATAATCACTTTTTAGTACTCATTTCCACTAATAATATTTATTTTTTAGTACTCATTTCCACAAACAATATTCATTTTTTAGTACTCATCTTCACTAACAATGTTCATTTTTTAGTACTCATTTTCACTAACAATATTCATTCTTTAGGCCTAAAATTTAAAATTTCACTTTCTTAAATATGCTTGGCATTGTTGCCACTTCTCATTCTTTGTGACTACATAAAAAATATAGACACCTTAATAAAATACAAATATCAAAATCTAAAGTAAAGAAAAATACAATTGAAAAACATAAATTCCACTTTACTTCATTCTACTTTAGATATGGGTAAACACTACGCTGGTTTTCACAAATTAAGGGTCAGATCTTCCAGAAAAAGGGTAATATTTCTTCTCATCATCATCAATATTTACGACAGTTCAAACTTATTCTTAATGTATAACACAATTCATAATTTTTCTTGAATAATTCTTATTAATATTATTTATAACAGTTCAGGATCATTTTTAATAAATTACAAAATTCAAATTTTCCTTATAATAAAATTACAAAAATATCAACAGAAATTGACTAAAATTTACATAAAATGTACTCTTAATTTTCACCTTCTGGTGTTAAATGAAATTCTTCAGCTGGATAAAAATATCTTAATTTGGAAGTGTGAACAATTTCAGTTTGATTATTATATTTTTCTATCTCAAAGTTTACATTAGAAAGTTTCCTTAATCTTGTGTAAGGGCCTGAATAAGGAGAAGTTAATTTTCTAGTGCTAGGGTATTTATATTCTTCCATTATTACCAAATCTCCTTCTTTAAACTCTGCATTTTTAAATTTTAAATCATATCTAAGTTTATTCTTCAAATGTCGTACCTTGGTTTTTTCAAAAGCTATTTCTCTGGATTTTTCTACTGGGGGGTATAAAGGTTGATCGATAGGGGAATCAAAAGGCAAGGAGCCAAACATTAAATAAGCAGGTGGAAAAGTTGTAACAGCATGAGGAGTATTATTATATTCTGACACAACCTGTTCAAGAAATTTAGTCCAAGGAATTTTTTTAGAAAAGTTATTTACTTTGCATTTTAATCTAGTAACTATTGATTGTCCTACCCTTTCTGATTTTCCATTACATTGTGGATGGTGACTAGTTGTCAACAACTGTTTTACATTATGATTTCTCAAAAATTTCTTAAAATACTAGAAGTAAAGGCTGGGTTCCTATCAGTTAATAAAGCCTTTGGGGCATAGGATGTAAATAAAGGTTTCAACAAATTCGAGTACATTTCTGATGTAATGTTTTTGCTACAAAAAGCCCAGATATATCTGGTACAATGATCAATTACAATGTTCAAATATTTTTTAGAAGAGTTATAATAGTTGAAACCACCTACAGAATCCAGTATTATTAACTCAAGAGGTTCTTTGCAGGATGGCATTGACTGTAACAAACAGTATTTTTCAAGTGTGAGATCTTATTAAACTGACAAGTTTCACAGTGCTTAACATAATTACTAATGTCCTTAATTATATCTGACCAATAATATGGGGAAATAATGCTGAACACTTTCTTTACAACTGGGTGACCATATTCTTCATGTACTTTTGAAATTAATTCTTCTCTTAAGGAGAAAGGTACTACAATTTTAATTAAACCCTTTTTACTTGCAGTTAAAATATCATTAATTTTCTTAAAGTTAGGATTATTTACATTATCAAGCCTTTAATGTTCAGTTAATTTTCTTTTTGAATTAAATGTGTTGAATAGCAATTATGGTGAGAAATTTTATTTTTAGAGAGCCTATCTGCCTCATAATTAGTGCTTCCTTTTTTATATTTTATCTCATATTCATACATTGATAGCTTTAAAGACCATCTGAATAATCTACCGGTCAGATGTTTCACATTTCTCAACCAAACTAGAGCTGTGTGGTCTGTATGTATTGTGAAAGATGTTCCATGAAGATAATGTTGATATTTATCAAGAGCATCTACTATTGCTAAACATTCTAACTCAGTAATTGAATAATTTTTATCATAAGTTCTTAATTGCCTCGAATGGAATGATATTGGATGTTGTGTTCCATCTGGGTG